ATCTTTTTTTCAAGAAAATTTCAGAAATCATTTCAAAATCGAATTGCCAGCGCCCACTACATCCGAAACGAGTATTGAACCATTTTTTTTGGATCAAACAAGCCTACTGTTTACCCACAAGCATAAAGAAATTACATATATTAAAAACTAACACTTTCTCATTACTTTATTTTCCAGATGACCAGACTGGGCTACAGCAATGCATGGCAGGGGAACACTAGTACAATATTTATTTATTTATTTACTGCATTTGTTTACTACCTTTCTCAGCCAGAGGTGACTCAAGGTGGTTCACAGTCAGCAGCAATTTGATGCCATAACAAATAACAGGGTACAGTTAAAAACAAGTATAAAAACAATTCAATGTTAAAAATGTAATATAAAAGAAACAATAATATCTATAAAACAAATCCTCAGCATCTCCTTACTAAAATCATGGTCCAGTTGCATCGTCAATCATTTCATGTTCCATTTTTGTCTAATTATACTCCAGTAGTAAAGGCTTGCTTGAAAAGCCAGGTCTTAACCATCTTGCGGAATGTTAGAAGAGAGGGAGCCAATCTTATATCCCTAGGGAGGGTGTGTCAAAATATAACCAGATGAGCTTCAGAAGTCTTAACCTTTCAGTCACCCCACAGAGATATTTCCTGGACAGAAGAGGCTGGGTCGATCCCCCCCAAGCTATCCTTGCAAAGGTGATAATCAAGACCTATTGTGTGTTCATCTACAACGATACACAGTTTCCATGCCTGAACCCATAAAGTCAACCAATGTTTGTTCAGTCAAGTGTCCTAATTTATAATAATAATAATAATAATAATAATAATAATAATAAACTTTATTTGTACCCCACCACCATCTCTCCTATGGGGACTCAGAGTGGCTTACATGGGGCCAGGCCCGAACAACAATTACAAATAAAGAGAACCAAAATGCAACCAAAAATGCAAACAATAAACAACATCATAATTACATAGAACATATGAATACATAACAATATAAGAATTACAATAGACACAGTCACAGAGACAATGGGCGGGCTACATGTAATTATTAAAAACAACTAATTAAAACTAATTAAAACCTCAGACAAGATAAAAGAGAGAAGGAGATAATATGTGGAGTAGTATTCATCATGGCAAGGGTTGTGGAGTCAAGCTTTCCCACGGGGGGGGGGGGGGAAGGGGGATGGACGGACGTCTACTCTAATGACAGAATTATCATCTAAACAATCATGTGAAATTGTATATCTACTCATCAAAGGCACAATGGAAGAGCCAAGTTTTAAGATTCTTCTTAAAAACTTCTAAAGAAGGGGCTTTCCTAATTTCTCTAGGCAACGAGTTCCAGAGTCGGGGAGCCACGGCTCAGAGATGGCTGACCATGGAAATAGAAGCTTGGAATATGTACATTTGCAGGTTCCTTTATTTCAGCTCCATGGCTTGATTAAAAGAGATCATCACCTTTGTTCCTGGGACCCCTCACGTGTTTTCCCAAAGACTTTTCCCATCACCTGGAACTGGACAATTAAGAAACTTGGAAACTCATTGACATTTCCCAAATATGGACATATATCTTCTGGAGCTCACCCTCTCCCATGGGGGATGGATCCTACAGCTGATTGGCCCTCCTGGACCAATCTCCTGTCATCTCCTTGACACCAGAGGGAACTCTCGCCTGGAGGTGGCAAACTCATCTGAGCACTGGCCAATCAGGGTGTGGATCCAAACTGATTCTTCTGTTGGACTATCAGGAGAGGGAGTGGGAAGTTTGAACAGCTGCCAAATGTATAAAACCTTGTGTATCTGTATTCATATTATGCTGTTCTTTGAAAGTATATGCTAGTACATGCATCCTTTTTGCTCAGATCAACGATACCTTTGTGGCTTGTTTTCACTGTAGTGGGGAACTTCTCTATCCTGGTCTACTCTGAATGAGCATGAATGCTTGCTGGGAACAGATTCTTTTATCAGCATTCCTAGCTCTAAATTTGACTACAACATGAAGAAGAAGATAAAGAAAATTATCACGTTTAGATGCTATTTTCACCATTATATAGCTGAATTAAAAAAACCATACATTTAAGATTGATATTTGTGAATACATTCCATGGCTAGGTTAGGGGGACTGCTAACTACTACCATGACAATATATTTGTCAGGATGACTGTGTGTGTATACACACACACATAGGGACCTTTGGCTTTTTTTTTTAAAAAAAAACTTAATGCTGAACTCAGCTTTAAAACACTAGGCGATACAAAGTGAAGATTTCTCTTGAGCTTTAAAGGGTGGGGAAAAGTTTTGCAACATACAAGGCACTTCTAGTGAATAAAGTGAAAAAAGCAGGAACTGGATCTCAGATATTGGTTTCCCTGATAATAATTGTCATCATTACACCAATCTGGTGCCCCACCCTTGTTGAGTAATTGGATTCAAACGCCTTCATACTTCTTATCTGAAATTGGTTGGAGAAGGTCTCCGATGAAAGAAACTGATTATTACTAAGACATTCAATGTGTATAAGGAAAATATCTCAGCCTTGTACATTTGCCCTTAGAAGCAAACAGATGTGATTGGGATACGGTAAGTTCTCATGCACATTAATTTCTTTTGTGTTGCTGAATTCTTCTTTTCTGTGTTTTCATTTCTATCTGCACCTTCCTTCACATGCTTGATAATTTTGATTCAATATTTAGGCCCCCATCTTTATCAAACTATGTTTAAGCAGTTCTAAGGGGTTTCCTTGACACAAACACCTCACATTCCCACTCTTTTACACTTCTTATCTCCACTGCTTCTGAACTCATAAGGCAGAGAAGTGACAGGTTTGGCAAAGTGATCTGGTTCAGCCTCTTCCACTAAAGGGCCACTTTATTCAACATAATTGTTAACATAATGGAGCATTTTGGGACCACCATTTCTAGTGACTGATAAATAAATAGAACGGGCCATTTATTCAGAGAGCAATGAAATTTATAGCCAGTGGAAGAATGTGATTTTGTCCCACAGACAACTGACACAGTTCAAAAGTAAATAGACCTGATCCAAGCCTTGGCTAAAATTGGGCAAATGCCAAAAAACACCAGTTCCAAACCCAGTGAAGTTGACCATTTCTGTCCACAGGCATCATTATTATTCCTATTACCTGTCAGCTTGGTTATCTTAAAGACCCTCTCATAACTTGTCTTTTTTTTGTTTTGCTTATGCCATTTTGCTTAGATGCCATGTTAATATCTGAAATGGAGCACAACATGTCTGATAATACAAACTTTATGTCTGGAAATCGGTACGTATGTGATGCTATTAAACAATTGTATTAATGTATTGTTGAAAGCTGTCATGGCCAGAATCACTGGGTTGTTGTAGATTTTTTGGGCTGTATGGCCATGTTCTAGAAGCATTCTCTCCTGAAGTTTCACCTGCATCTATGGCAGGCATCCTCAGACTTTGTGAGGACTGTTGGAAACTAGGAAAATTGGGTTTATATATCTGTGGAAAGTCTAGGGTGGGAGAAAGAACTCTTGTCTGTTGGAGCTAGGTGTGAATGTCCCAGTTAGCCACCTTGATTAGCATTTGATGGCCTGACATTTTTTAGGTGTGCCTTGTTCCTGCCTGGTGGAATTCTTTGTTGAGAGGTGATTGTCCACAGCTGCATGGTATCCAGAAGACTCCTGCAAATGTTAATCAAAGTGGTCAACTGAGACATTCACACATAGCTCCAACAGACAAGAGTTCTTTCTCCCACCCTGAAACTTGGCCCAGTTATTAGTCCTTCTCTCCATCGGTGCCACCTAAGGACACACACTTCTCCCATCTTTTTAAGCAACTGCAAACACCTCACTTGTAAAGGTTGACCGGTTGCTCCAAAAACCATGTTGTGACTTCAGAAATCAGATTCTCATCATTTGAAAAATGCTTGCCCTTCAAAAATAACTTCATCGTTGGAAAGAGGTGGAAGTCCAAGGGTGTGAAGTCAGGTGAATAAGGGGTGTGTGGTAGAATTTCAAAGCCACAGGAGCATGCTTCCATTTGGCAGCATGTGAGTTGTGAACTGGTGCATTGTCTTGCAAAAGGCAGACACTTTGGTGAACATGCCACATCACTTGGTTTTGATGGCCTGACGCAATTTCCACAGCAGTGAAGCATAATATGCCCCAGTGATCATGGGGCCCTTTGCGAGGAAATCCATCAATACTACTCCACACTGGTCCCAAAATTCTGTGAGCACGACCTTGCTTGCCGAATGTTGGGCATGTGCCTTTTCTGGAGGCGGTGAGTCATGATCTTTCCATTGCATCAACTGAACTTTAGTCTCATGATCATAGTGATGGACCCAGCTTTCATCCTGTGTGATCAGTGTGTTGAAAAAGTCCTCCTGGCATTACTTCCAGTTTCAATATATGCGGCCAGTTCCTGAATAGGAACAGATTCACAAAGACCTGCAAAGGGAAGACAGACCATTGTATGAAGATCGACATATTTTGAAGAAATTCTTTATCTATACAGATTTTGAATGCCATTATGAATACCCAGAATACTTCAAATTTCCTGATCTTGACATAAATTTATCTTCAACATACCTTCTAACTGGAGAAATGATCAGCATTGTTATTGTTCTAGTCTGCCTTTTGGGACTTCTCACAAATGGAAAGGTCATTTGGCTCCTTGGGTTCAGCATTAAGAGAAATCCTTTCACAACCTACATCATGAATCTCTCCATTGCTGATTTTGGGGTCCTCGCCTGCCTACTTTGCATTGCTTCTTTTGCAATTGCATTGAATTGGTATGAGGGAAGCCGGGCTTTCTGTACGTGCTTTAACATAGCCCTTGAGCTACTTTTCCTCACTTATTCTTCCAGCCAGTTTCTGTTGGCAATTATTAGCATTGACAGGTGTGTGGCAGTTTTCTTCCCAATTTGGCATCGATGCCACCGGCCCCCATATTTATCTACTGTTGTTTGTGCCATAATTTGGATAGTTTCTTCTCTGCTTTATGGAGTCCATTTCATTTACCACTGCTTTTTCTACAGTGAAATGATTCAATTTGTCATGCAGTCAATTGCAGCTGCTCTACTTGCCACCTTTATCATGGTCATTTCCACTCTGACTCTGTTCATCAAAGTTTGCTGTAAACTGAAGCAACACCAGCGAGGAAAGCTTGTTACAGCTGTTTTGCTCACACTTATGTTTTTCCTCCTCTTTTGTGTTCCATTTAATGTTTCTTATGCAATAAGCTTTTTATCTATTATTTATGACTGGGCTTTTCTTCTGAGGTGGATTGGTTTTGCCTGTGCTTCTGTGAATAGTAGCATCAACCCACTGATCTATTTCTTAGTCGGGAGGAGGCAAAAGAAGGGTTGGGCCAAAGTCTCCATGAAGGTTGCACTTGAGAGGGTTTTCAAGGATGAGCACGATGCTGTGGAAGAAGAAACACCTATGGAAGGAATCCATATATAAGGTGAAAAAGTGATATCCTTTTTTTGAAAAAAATGTATTTTGTATTCATGATTTTGAAAATTCCTAACACAAGTACTGATTAAACAGTTTTAAATCACAAAATGCAAAATAAAATTAAATATTGGTTTCTGAGGACAAAATACACCTCTTTAAAAAAAACAAACAAAACTATTCCAACTTCTTTATTACTTAGTTTATTCTGAAGGAAAACAAGTAATTTCTGTAGTTTCATTCCTACTGCTAGCAAGCTTTGGCATTTTTAAAATACTTTGGGACTGCTCAATATTTGCATATACTTGCTTTTCACAAAAAACAGCAGTTCGTGCATTGATTATAAAATCTCGATGCTATTATTATCCCATTTTTCTCTTCATAAGGTGACTCAATTAAAAGCATTACAATAAAATTTAAAATATACAAATATAAAAATATTAAAACAGTATTAAACATCATTAGTATTAAAACTGTTCAGATTAAATCCATAAAAACATATAAAACCACAGCAGCCCCTGACATGATCTTAAAAACCTTCTTATTTAAAAGCCTGTTTGAATAAAAAGGTTCTTGTCTTTTTCTTTGTAAACCAACAAAGTGCAAATTTACACAGAATAAAGTCCTAATAATAGTTTTTTTTCTGCAGGAACTAATCTTCCTGAATACTGGTGTTGTGCCAAGCAACCATGTGCAAGAATTGTCTTCCATCCAGCATTCTTCTTCTCAGGATCTCTCAACAATCAAAATGTGTTATTTAACCAGTTTGTAATATTTTAAAATAATATTTTACATTCCTATTTTCATTACATTTTCATCCACTATGTATACAATGATTTACATTATTAATAAACAATATTGCTTCCCCCCCTATATGTTGCACATTTCTTATTCACTTCTTTATTCACACTTACTTTTTCTCTAAAACTGTGAACTGAAGATGTATGTTGTACACCCACATGATGTACAACATACATGCACAACATGCCTTGCTTAGGTGAAATTGTACTTCTTTCGTAGAGCTGAAGCCCATCAATCAAAATGATGATCCTTACAGAAGATACACATTCTAGATTCCTTCATTTGGTAATTTTATTTTGCAAATTAGAAATAGCAACATGACACATTTCACAGCTGGAACGTGTCAGAGAGGAAGGAAATGCAGGGCATTTGTTCATTTTGGATAACGACAATGAAACACTGTGATGAAACTTCAAAAACAGAAGGCCTGGTAGCCTTATTTTTAGCCAGAATGGGAATCAGCTGTCAAAGTCCATAGAAAATTTGGGGAAAATAAGTCTAAAGGAGGAGAAGAGTCAGTGTAGGAGACCAAGACTGAACTCATGCTTGTTCATGGAAATCCACTGTTTTTTTCTTCTTCTTTTTTTGGTGTGTGTCAGAAGCGATTTGAGAAATTGCAAGTCGCTTTTGGTGTGAGAGAATTGGCTGTCTACAAGGATGTTTGCCAGGGGACGCTAGGATGTTTTACCATCCTGTGGGAGGCTTCTCTCATGTCGTCACACGGGAAGCTGGAGCGGACAGACAGAAGGTCTTTTCAGAATAAATCTTGCCAAGAAAACCCATGGTGGCTGAAGAATTCTATAGGTATTAATGTTGTTGAAGCTCCAGATTTTAGAATGAAATAGAATCAGTTTCTTGGTCTTATAAACATTGAAGATAAGATGTCTAAGACCTTATGGAAGAAGAAAAAAATAACCTATCCAAACAAGTAACAAAAAGCGCCTTGTTTTGTTTTTGCTTTCTACTGATGTCTTTTCTTTTCCTCATGAAACATTAACATTTTGATTATTTTTGTTCGTTAATAAAATATCTGCTTGACTATATTTTTCTCTATATCATTTTAGCAGTATTTCAAGAGTGACAAATAAATTTAACATATTAAAAATACAACAAACACTGAAATATATATAAAAAACAATTATAGAAAATCCAAACAGAAAAATAACCTTATATAATTTTCTGTTTTTATATATATAAAAAACACCCATTAGAAATGAAACTTCCCTCTTTCTGCCAAACTTCTTCATGAGTTTGTCCGAGTCCACTGTCAATATTCTTCCTGTATATCAGGCTATCACTTAAAGTTTAACCTTCCTCTGTCATCTAAATGAGTTTTCATACAGTTGGTGTAAGTTTTTGTCTATCTATTTAAGCAAACCTTTAAAAATTGAATAGATTTTTTCCCTTTGTTTTCTTGTCATCTTTCTTGTTTTTCTTCAATTTGAAGAGAGAGTTGTTGTACCTCCTCCCTGGTTCAGCCACATATTCACTGAAACATTTGAAATTTTAAAAATAGCAACACTAAATGACTATGATTTGAATAGTTGATTAAAAGGAAATCTTTCATCAGCTTCAAGAAAGACTGGGACTTGTCTTTCTTGAAAGAGCCTTTTCTATGGTCTCGACTCAAGGTCTTTTGATCTATAAGCCACCATGAGCTTCAAATTTGGGGGAATATGTGGTAATAATAACATTGTTGTTGAACATGATACCCACCCCCTGCAATGATTTATAGATTTCCAAGGGCAGAATAATAGAAAGAAGTGAATTTTTATTCTTTTTTAAAGTCTGTTGATATGCATCAGCAGAAGCAGGGAGCAGATTGGCAACAGCAGCTGACCCACTAATACTTTCTTGTTTCAGCCCCTTCATAAAATGTATCCTTTCCTTCAGCTTTCATATCATTTCTATGTTTATGTGTAAATGAAATATATATGATTTGTGTCAAACTATAAGAAAACAAGCCTTAGAGGTATTCACCTTTTAGTCACCCCACAGAGATAGCTCCTGTACAGAATAATAATAATAATACACTTTATTTATATTCTGCCTTTCTCCCCAGGAGACTCAAAGTGAATCACAGCATTTTAGATAGATAGGCAAACATTCAATGTCTTTACAATCATATACACACAACACAAATAAAAGCAAATGATTCTCCTTTCATTTCTGGCTTTGGAGATAGTACTCAGAAGAGGCTGGGCTGATCCCCTTGGCTATCCGTAGCAAAGGTGATAATGAAGACTCATTGTGTGTGCATGCACAACAATAGTGTTTTGTTTTATGTTGTTTAGATTTTAAATATGTTATATTTTAACATGTCTGTCGGGCTCATCCCCATGTAAGCTGCCCCGAGTCCCGCCGGGGAAATGGAGGCGGGGTATATAAAAAAACTAAAGTTATTAATAGACCGTTTCCATGCCTGATTAGATACAGTCAGCCAATGTTTGTTCAGCCAAGTGTCCCACCTGGGCTGAGAGATTGCTGACCATGGAAACAGAAGCTTGAAATATGTATACTTGCAGACTCCTTTATTTCAGCTCCAAGGCTTGATTAAAAGAAATTATCCTCTTTTGTTTTTGGGGCCCCTCACCTGTGTTTTCTCAAACATTTCCCCATCACCTGGAACTGGACAATTAAGCCACTTGGAAACTCATTAACATTTCCCAAATATGGGCATGGATCTTCTGGAGCTTGCCTCTTCCCATGGGGGAAGACTCCTACAGCTGATTGGCCCTCCCAGACCAATCCCCATCATCTCCTTGCCACCAGAGGGAATCAAAGCCTGGAAGTGGCAACCTTATCAGAGCACCAGCCAATGAGGACGCAGATCCAAACTGACTCTTCTTTTCGCCAATCAGGAGAGGGAGCGGGAAGTTTGACTAGCTGTCAAATGTATAAAACCTTGGATCTCTGTATTCATATTATGCTGTTCCTTTGAAAGCATTTGCTTATACATGCATCAAATAACCGTTGTGGCTTGTCTTCACCCTAGTGGGTGACTTCTCTGTCCTAATTCAGTTTAGCTTGAATGTTTGCTGGGCACGGATCCTTTTTTCAACTTTCCTAGTTCTAAAATTTGACTATAACATGAAGAAGAAGATGAAGAAAATTATCATTTTTAGATGTCAATTCCACCATTATTTAGCTGAAAAAAAGAGATACATTTAAGATCCATATTGGTGAATTCATTCAAGGGCTGAAGATTAGATATGAAAAAGTAATTATTTATTTCTATCTTAGAGGGACTGCTAGCTAATATCATAACAATATATTTGCAATTTCCCCCTATATATACACACTATCCCAGAATACTTGGTGGGTGTCAAAATACACAAAATAATCTATGTCAGGAAAAAATAATACTCAAGGAGCATAAAGTATATGATATTCAGTACATAGCTCAATCTGTTTCACATAAAGTAAATTGAAAAGGAGCAACTGCTCTCAAACATAACTGTTGTAAGATCCCAATGTGTGTGTGTGTGTATGTATGTGTGTGTGTGTGTGAATGCACACACACACTGGGACTATTGGCCTTTTAAAAAATCTTAATGCTGAACTACACTTTAAAACACTAGGCGATATAAAATAAAGATTTCTCGAGCTTTAAAGGGTGGGGAAAATTTTTGCAACATACAAGGCACTTCTAGTGAATCAAGTGAAAAAATCAGGAACTGGATCTCAGATATTGGTGTCTCTGATAACAATTGTTATCATTACACCGATCCGGTGCCCCACCCTTGTTGAGAAATAGGATTCAATAGCTCTCTATGTTACTTCTTATCTGAGGTTGGTTGGAGAAGTTCTCTGACAGAAGAGCCGATTATTACTGAGACATTCAATGTGTAGAAAGAAAGCACTTGCACATAGAAGTAAACAGATATGATTGGGATACGGTAAGAGTTCATGTACACTAATTGCTTTTGTATTGCTGAATTCTTCTTTTCTGTGTTGCTTCTACTATCTGCACCTTCCTTCACATTCACAGCAAAAATACTGCTGAATGCTTGATAATTTTGGTTTAATATTTAGACCCCTATCCTTATCAAAAGTGATCTTTAGCATCTCGTGGGGGTTTCCTTCATACTCACCCCTCACATTCCCCACTCTTTTACAGTATTTATGTCTACTGCTTCTGTGACAGGCTTGGCAAAGAAATCTGGTTTTGCCTCTTTCTCCAAAGGATGACTTTATTCAATTTAATGGCTAATGAAATGGATCATTTTGGGACCATCATTTCTAGTGACTGATAAATAAATAGAACTGGACATTTCCTCAGATAGCAGTGAAATTTACTGCCAGTGGAAGAATGTGATTTTCCCCCACAAAAAAACTGCACAGTTCAAAAGTAACTAGACCTGATCCAAGCCTTGACTGAAAATGGGCAAGTGCCTAATAATAATAATAATAATAATAATAATAATAATAATAATTCCAAATCCAGTGCAGTTGTCCACTGCTCTCCTCAGGAATTATTATTACTCCTATCTGTCAGCTTGGTTATCTAAGATTTTCTCATAACTTCTCTCTTTTTTTTTTTTGGCTTATGCTGTTTTGCTTAGATGCCATGTTAACATCTGAAATGGAACACAACATATCTCAGATTGACAATGCTAGTACAAACCTTATTCCTGAAATTTGGTACGTATGTGATTCTATTAAACAATCTGATTAATGGTAAAATAAAAAAGAGCTAGTTTAGTGATACTCTTCTCAGCCTGGGGCCAGGGACCCCTGAGGGTCCACGTTGTCACCACAGGTTGCCTGTGAAGGACTGAAGAAATGATATGATTTATTGCGGTTAAGCCTGAATAAACAAATAAGTGAATTAATGAAAGCATGCTGGAAAGGGAAATGGAACAGAACTGTAAAAACTTTTAATCAAAATGTAAGCAACAGGGGAATTTTTTTGTAAAGATTTGAATAAATTTCACATTTTTGCAAGAACATGTTAAAATTGACATAAATTCAAGATTAGCACATTAGGATACACCCAAAAATGGACAATTTGAGTGGAAAGTTGTAATTTTTATTTTTATTACTACTACTACTACTACTAATAATGATAATACTATTGTGGTTCTTTTTTAAAAAAATCATCTTGAGTATTTTCCATATAAAATAAAACTAGAAAAGAGAAAGAAAGAAAAAGAAACAAAAAACCCCAAGAGGTGCAGAGAAGAAAAAAATAATTTTGTCTGGTCTTGACTTCTGGTCATCTTCTTTGAGGTTTCTGCCCTTTCCTTCTTTATATCTTCTTCTTATTTAATTCTCCCTGTCTTCTTTAATACTCTGTTCAGGTGTATTTTCTATTCTTCTTCATATCAGTATCTTTCTATTATCTTGTTTTAAGTATTCAGTAACTTGGCTCCAGTCTGTCTCTTTCATTGGGTCCCCCATGCTTTTGGATATCAGGTATGTAACTCTATCTGTGTTTCTTATGTCTAAGATTTTTTTATCAACCATTCTTTTACTTCTTTTTATCTAATTTCTGTTCATACATCCCTAATAGGAACATTTCTGGTCTCATCGGGATCTTAATTTTTAACATTTTCTGCAACTTTTCCTGAATTTTTTTCCAAAAGCATTTGTTTTTTTACATGACCACCACATGTGATAAAAAGTTCCTTTTTCCCTCCACATTCCCAACCATTTGTATTTTTATTTTTGTAACACTTTCCCAATTTCTGTGGTGTCATATACCATCTCTACATCATTTTTATCAATTTCTCTTTTAGATCGGTCGTATATGTATATTTTAGTTTTTTTATTCCAAATTTCTTCCCATTCTTCCTTTCCTATAGATCTTCTGTCCACCTTCTCATATATTCCTTCATCCTTCTGCCTCTGTAATCCATTCTAATAACTTCTTATATAGTTTGGTTATCGTTTCTTTCTCAGTTTGCATAATTTTGTCCAAAATGATTCATTCTCTGAAATGCCTATTACTTTATCCTTTACAAAGTGTTCCTTTATTTGCCAGTATTGATACCAAGAGATATTTTTATAAGCAAAATTCATTACCCGTTGTGTTTTCATTACCAATTCTCCTTCTTGTTTTTTTCAGTAGGACTTTATAGTTGGACCATCTATTCCACCCCAATATTCTCTGAGAGGCTTCTAGCTGTGATATCCACATTGGCATTTTATCGTACAATTTCTTTTAGCCCCATGTCTTCCTGCCAAGACCCCCACCTGAGTATAAGCTGAGGGATTTTTTAGTCTAAAAAAGTGCTGAAAAACTAGGCTTATACTTGAGTATATACATTAATTGATTGTTTTTGGCTACCTCGCTAAACTAAATATTTTAAAAATAATAATAAAACCAAGGAATATTTATTTTTTAAAATTGTAGATTGCAAATGTTATGCATCAAACACACCATAATCATCTGCCAGTAAAAAAAAAAACTCTGATATTTTCTTATCTTGGAATCTGAGTGGCTAGTATTTGCATGGGAGACCAATATTGAAGACCAGGAAGGACTTGACAAAACCCTCTCTGAGGATTCCTTAGCTGAGACAACCCTATGAAATTTGTAGGGTCACCAGAAGTCAACACAGGACTTGAAAGAACGTACACATGTAATAGCAACATGATGGGAGGAAATGAAAGTTGTTGTCATTCTATATGCCTGATTCCAGAATATGAAAAGATTCACATTGGTGTCTTTTGTCTTTGCAGGTCTTTGTATAAACATGGACAGAATTGGGTACTTATTCTCTATACAGACTGGAATTGTAATTTTACTTATCATGACAACTCAGAAAACAGCTTAAGTTCTTATTCAGCCATAAATGGAAATACTGGGGTTACACCTCCAACTGACACTTCAAGTTATTTTAATCTAATGATCATTGTTATTGTTCTTGTCTGCCTTTTGGGACTTCTTGGGAATGGAAGGGTCATTTGGCTTCTTGGCTTCAACATTAAGAGGAATCATTTCACAACCTACATAATGAATCTCTCCATTGCTGATTTTGGGGTCCTCACGTGCCTCCTTAGCATTGCTTCTATTGCAATTGCATTAAATTGGTATGAGAGAAGCCGTACTTTCTGCCTCTTCTTTAACACAGTCTTTGAGCTACTTTTCCTCATTTATTCTTCCAGCCAGTTTCTGTTGACAATCATTAGCATTGACAGGTGTATGGCTGTACTCTTTCCAGTTTGGTATCGATGTCACAGGCCCCCATATCTATCAACTGTTGTTTGTGCCATAATTTGGATACTTTCCTCTCTGCTCTCTGGAATTCATTTCATTTTTCATGTCTACTTCGTTAGCAACTGTGCAATACACGTATTTACCTTTCAGCTGATTGTAAATGTTCTGCTTTGCACTCCTCTCATGGTCATTTCCACTCTGATGCTTTTCATCAAAGTCTGCTGTAAACTGAAGCAACAGCAGCGAGGAAAGCTTGTTACAACTGTTTTGCTTACACTCCTCTTTTTTCTCATATTTTGTTTACCACTTAATGTGTCTTATATAATCCATAACCTGGTTTCTGATTTTCATGTTGTTCTGCTGAGGTGGGTTGGTTTTGCCTGTGCTTCTGTGAATAGTAGCATCAACCCACTGATCTATTTCTTAGTCGGAAGGAGGCAAAAGAAGGGACAGGCCAAAGTCCCCATGAGGGTTGCACTTGAGAGGGTTTTCAAGGATGAGCAAGATGCTGTGGAAGAAGAAACCCCTACAGAAGAAAGCCATGTATAAGGTGCAAAAGTGTTATCCTTTTTTGAAAAAAAMATTTTGTATTTGTGCTTTTGAAAATTCATAGGCCCCCACATTTATCCATCATGGTTTCTATCCTAATTTGGTTAGTCTCCTTTCTGCTTGCTGTCATCCATTTAGTTCTTCTCAAGACAAGGCGTTTAGTTTTTTCTACCACTTCTTTGTGAATGTCCTGCTCTGCACACCTATCATGGTCATATCTACTCTCATTCTGTTCGTCCATGTCTGTTATAAATCAAAACAACAACTGCGGCGAAAGCTTGCCACAGCCATTTTATTCACACTTCTTTTTTTTATCCTCTTTACTTTCCCATTTAACATGATTTATAGCTTTCAAGGAGAACCTGAAAACAAGTGTTATAAAATGTCCTCCACGACATTCATTTGTTGTGCCTTAGGTTCTCTGAACAGTAGCATCAACCCCCTGATCTATTTCTTAGTTGGATGGGGTCAAAAGATGGGTAAAGTCAAGATTTCCATGAAGGCGGCACTRGAAAGAGTTTTCAGGGATGAGCAAGACAATAGAGAAGAACAAACCACCAGGACAGGAGCAACCCATCTATAAGGATCCTTTATGTGTAAAAGCAATAATTCTTCAGAATTCACTTGTAAAATCATTATTCATACATAATATTCAAAACTGATTGACAGTATGTAACAGAAAATAATGCTGAGTGTATATCTGCTGGTATCCAAAAAGAAACGTTTCAAATTTTTGGATTATTCATCCTTTTACGATGCAATTCTTGACTTTGTTTCTTCTGAAAAGATGTAACAAATAATTTGGAACTGTGCAATGACAATCAGAATGACCACATTTACTCGACTGTATTTGCTCGAGTATAAGTCGAGGGTGGGAAATGCAGCAGCTACTGGTAAATTTCAAAATAAAAATAGATAACGATAACATTACATTAATTGTGGCATCAGTAGGTTAAATGTTTTTGAAGATTCACCTAAAACTGTAATTTAAGATAATACTGCCCAACTTCGATTAAATCATTATTCTGACCTTCTTCAATGTAAATGTGCTTGGCTACCCTTCCAATGATAATGATAATAAATGTAATCATAACAATAATAATAGAGTAAAACAATAAGTGTTATAATAATAATAATAATAATAATAATAATAATAATAATAAATACATTTATTATGTATTTATAACAGAGTAAAATAATAAATTACCTTGACTCGAGTATAAGCCTAGGGGGGATTTCTCAGCTTAAAAAAAGGTCTGAAAGACTAGGCTTATACTCGAGTATATACAGTACTTTTCTCCAATACATAGCCATTCTTTGACACATATATTTGTTTAACTAATTAACACATAATGCAAACTTTTTTGACCATTAATATTTTTTACTATTCATGTTTAATAATTCTATGTTTAATTCTATTTTAATGTGTGTGTATGTTATGGTTGTAAATTTTACATTGTAGTTTTTGTAGCCACTTTGCGGTTCTTTTACGAAAGGAAAGTCACATGTAACAACAATAACAGCAGCAGCAATAGCAGCAACAACAACTAACACATGACATATAAATGACAGTAAAAAACTAACTGGACCTAATTGTAATTAGCTATAGGGAGCACATGATTCCCCTACTAAAGTAGTTTCACAGACTGGCAATAAGTTTCTGTTCCCAATTCAAAGTGCAGGTTATTAACTACAAAGCCCTAAACGGTTTGAGCCCTGCCTATCTTAATAACCACATCCCCTGTCCCAATGCACTGGTGCAAGCATGTAAGATCTGCCAGGGAGGCCCGCCACTGTCATAAGCGTGGTTGGTGGGGACGGGGAGAGGACCTTCTCAGTGGTGGCCACCCAGCTTTGGAACACCTCCCCAGGGAGATTAGACACGTGCCCATACTCCTTCCATAGGGATCTGAAAACATGCTTTTTTAAAACAAAGGTTTGAGAATGCTTAGTCCCTAGTTGATCTTCACAATTATTATGCAATCTTGCACTTCATCCCATGACCTCAATCCATGGTTACAGCTTTGCACTTATCCCATTCCCTTGTCCAATTTTTTCAGCTTGGCTATGTTTTCAGTGGCTTACCACCATTGGTTGATAAGTGCTGTTTTAATTGAGTTTTAAGTTGTTGTTTTATATGGCTATATGTTTTAATCAAATGTATTTTATATTGTGTTTTATTTTATGTTCTGTTTTTAGGCACCTTGTGCTGTGTGTAAGCTGCCTCGAGTCCCTTCAGAGAGATTGTGGCAGGAAAAAAGAATAAAGTTGTTGTTGTTGTTGTTACCATCCTGAGTCCCCTTGTGGGAGAAGAGCAGAGTAGAAATGAAGGAAATAAATAAATAAATAAATAAATAAAGTTAACATAAAATGAGTGACTTTCCACTTTTTTTATTACAAGATTATGTGCGTATTTAATCTGAAGTCCAATTAATTCATAATAGGTCTTTAAACTTACATCTTATTATAATGTTATTTTCTTTTTCCATTTGATTATTTAATAATAATAATAGTAATAATAATAATAATAATAATAATAATAATATATCAGTCTTCAGTTGTTATCTTTTTACTCTCTCTCTCTTTAAATATGTAATTAATGGATAAAATTGGATAAAATTGATTTTTTCCTTCAATATCATAATTAATTCATTCATCTCAACCATCTCATACATTTTGACTACCCAATTTTCTGTGTTTTATATTCTTTTTTTACTTTTGTGTGTATATGAATCTTGCTGCCATTGTCATGCATGTAAAACCTTTTGTTGTTTGATTTGATTGTTAAATAATTCCTAATAAAAAGAGTTTTGGACTTAGTCATACTTGTTGCTTGCCTGGTTTATTAAAGTACTGTTTTTTCTATATATTTTATTCTTTTCCAGCTCATCAACAAATAAAATTGATAACTGAATTTACATTTTAATTTACATTTCCTTAGTTTTTCCTCTTTTGTCTGCTGCATACTCCCTAATATTTCAGTTATTTTTCTTGTATTTTCTTGTATTGTTGTGCCTCTCCTCAAGCCAAAAGGAGAAATATATTGAATCATCATCATGATCATCATCATTATCATGATCATCATCAAGTTGTACTATGTTAGGTGACTCTCACATTTATTTTTCTATCATCCTCCTTTTTATGCCATTGTTCATTCTTTGAAAGTTCATATAACATCAGTTATACATTCATTGATACATGAAGGTGCAGTACAAATGGGCTGAAGATCATGTATAAGGTGCTGAAGTGGTATGTTTTATATGCAAACATGGTCTATTTGTAAAACGAATAGCATAATTTCTTGCATTCATGTTTTTGAAAATTTGGCATTTCTACATTTTCCCATTTTAATGCATATATGATTCTTGCTTCCATTGTTATATCTAGAAAAAGCTTTTCATGTTGTCATTTTATTTGATTGTCAAAACATCCTAATAAAAAGAGTTCTGGTCTAAGCAGTTGTTCCCACTTTCCTGGTCTATTGTCATGTTTGAAGTTCTGTTTATATAGAATATACTGTATTATTTTTCAATTGATTCTGGGTTGAATATTGCAGTATTTTTTTTTTTTAAAAAAAAATCATTGCTTTTATTTGTCTCCAAAATGTTCAGAATGCCTTGACACTAGTCCACCAGAGATGGCAGAATAAACCTTCCGGGTGTATATATTGCCAACATACTGTATATTGTTATATGTTTCACTTTCATGTTAACTTTATTAAGGCTACCATCTTGTAGAAATTCTCCTATAAACCATAACATAATGACAAATTATGCACCCAGGGTTTCAATTTACATTGCTCGCAATGGAGGAAATTGAGCCACCAAATAGCTGTGAACTAATGGGTCAGTCCTTGCCGTTGATATTCTGTCATATTGAAACTTTAAGCAAAAAATTGGACCATCTATTCTCCTATGTAATGCTACTTTCAAAGGAGTCTATGGCTCAGTGGTATAATGGTGAGAGAAGAGCTCGGGGCGGGGAGTCGATCTTTTTAGGGATGAGAGGGAGGAGGGAGAAAATGTTTCTGTGGGGAAGGGGGAGAGGGAAGATTTTGGGATTTGACAATAGTTATGCTAGTTTGGAAAATGAAGAGGTTCAGGTAAATTTTAACCAAGGAGATGGAGAGCCATCTTACCAATGGGACAAATATTCCCATAAAAGGATTTTGCAAATAGATATGCTGGCCTTTGAAATATTAGGTTCCTGGCCATATAGAAACAGGCGGGGTACCCAGAGGATGGTTAAGAAATTTCTAGACCAGATCCTTCTTAGGAAACCTAAGAATATTAACATCTCATCCATATAATGGCTCCAGAGGGATGGTTGTAGCACCCGCCTTCTAATTAGATTTGGAGATTCCTCTATCACAAAGAAATTGTATATGCTCAGGCCTGTTCTCTTCAATCAGGGAATTAGAAGGATTTTTCTAGACCGAGATATTTGCCCCTCGTAGCTTCATTTCATGTAATTCCCCAAAGAAACAGTCCTTCAACAGCCCCACATAACCTCGAGTGGCAGTTGACCGCTGTGAAGGGAATTATTAGAAATTAAACTAAAATCAGGTCACATCTTCAGGCAGGCTATTGGGCCTATACAGAGCTAACCCTGGTCTTGCAAGGTAGGACAATTCGTTACACCAGCCACTCCCCCAAAGATCAGAATGAACCAGAAAAATACACCCACACTAGTATTATCCCCAGAATCACAACAGTGGTCCCAGAACTTTTTTCAGGAAGTTTCGGCAATTCCTTTGAACAGGATCTGGATATTTCTTTTGGGGATTTGCCCCTCCAGAAAGCCTCTAGTGATGGACTAGTTTCTCAACCTAGTCCTGACTACTTTACCTTAGAGACCACTGTGGATACTCCGGCGGGTGGGAAGCGGGAGAGGTTCCGGAGCCGGGGTATTACTATTGAAACTGTGCCGGGGAGGAGGAAGTGTGGCTAACAAGGCCATCCCAGGGAGAAACGCAACAGAGTCCTGTTGGGAACAGCTCA